CGGATGCTCCCTCTGACTGTGAGTGAGGGAATGTAAACGCCCAGCTCAGTGGGTGTGACGGAAAATGGGAGCAAACCAGAACTAGGGCAACAGCAAACTCCCTCCTTTGGGGTCTGCCCGCTGAGACTGATGATCGCTGCTGTTCTCTGGTGACCACTGAGGATCGGGGGAAAGGAACATCAAAGCGTTTGTGTCCCTGATTCGGGGCCACGGTTCGGCCTCTTCATTGCTCCAGCAGCAGAAAGGGGACAGGTGCAAGCAGTGTCCCCAGTGGGGAATTTGTTGTGAACAGCCACCAGCAGATCAGAAGTTCCTCAAAGAAGCTCGTTTCAGAGGATAAATCAGCCAGTGTAAACTCTCTTCTCTGCTCTTGCCTTGCAGCTTAAAGGGGTGAAATGCGATGCTCTGCTCCTTGGGCATCTCCAGGACCCAGATCTGAGAATGAACAGCCTAATGGCTGGGGGAAGGTGGGAGGTCTTGGCAGCCCACCAAGCTCCAGCGAACTGCGAAAGAGACTTTGTATTAGGAGGAACAGGCCAAGATCAGAAAACATGTCCCCTCTCCTGTCAGAGCAATCCGTGCTGCCTCAAGGGAGAGACGTGACAGGCCTTAATTGGCATGGTCAACTGCAGGGGAGAGTTGGGGTTTCTCATTAATCTGGGACAAAAAAGGGGCTTCAGTGGACATTTGTATCCAATGTGCTAGAGACAGATTTTCACTGCTGAACTATTTAGCTAAGTGGTTGGCATCCCCTGGGTTCTCCAGCCCAATCAGCCCATTCCCCTGTTCCTGATAAATCAGCAAAAAACACATCAGTGGGGAGGTGAGGCTTTGAGTCTGAGGCCTCTATCCCACAGCGGGTGTCCCGTCCCTGACCCAGCTCCTTGTGACACTCTGACAGCTCAGTCCGGGTCCCGCTGGCACCTGCAAACCCTGCTGGTCTCTCCCGTACAGCAGAAGAGTACAGGACAGTTAGCGCTCTGGCGTGCCACCCACAACATGCCCGCAGAGCCCGGTGAGTACAAGTGACATGCTGCCCGGCGGGCACAACGGGCTGGTTATAGCAGCTGGCAGCAGTGTAAGAGGCAGGCGCTGGGGAGGGGAAATCCATGCAGCAGAGGGAGGCGGACAAGTCGTTCCCTTCCCCTTCTCCCTGCCTCGAGTGCTAGGGGCAAAGGCTGAGCTCCCAGGGGAGGGGCCCAGGGTTAGCACAGGTTGGCTGCTTTCATGCTCATCCACTGGTCCCAGCTCCACATAGGTCAGTTTGCTTTGGCTCCCAGCTGGGTTAACACCAGTGGGAGAACTAAACGCAAACAACGCGGGGAGGAAGGCTGGGCACTTGGTTCTGGAATCCTGGGCTGGGAGTTTCGTTACCTGTTTCCCTGCTCCTCGCTTCAGATTTCACACTGTGAAGCTGAGTTTGAAACAAACCAACAGTTTTTATCCCTGTCGGGATTTTGTTCCTTTTTAAAACTGAATGTGCCCCGCCTGGGTAGAGTGAATTCCAAGTGGCTCTGCACTCCCGTGGGCTGAGACCGTGCCAGCTAGTGCTGGGTGCCTGCCGCTGTCTCCTCATCTGGAGCGGTGTTGAACCAGGTACTGGTCCTGGGGACAGGAAAGCCTCTTTTTTGCCCTGCCAATGATTTTTGAGTGACTTGCCTTCTGCTAGACCCTGATAGGGGCTTGCCAGACTGATACTGCTGTTGCTGGCTCCTTTTCTTAAGTGAATTAAGTACTCTGCACTTTGGAGCGACACCCAGCCAGCGCACTGGGGCTTGGCTCTGCTCTGAGCCTGTGCAATAATCAAGAGGCACCAATTTACACGAAATTATCTTTATTTTCACTTAGAGTCAGATTGTCACACGGGACTATCCGGCCAAATAAAGAGCCTGATTTTCGTGTCAGTTCTGTGCTCCTGGGGGATGAGTGGAGAGAAGCTGCCTGCGTGTCGAACTCTGCCCCATGTCTGACGTTCAGTGAATGCCAGGCCATGCTCTGCTGCGTTATGTCCAGGCCGAGCTTTGATTTCTCTGTATTATCTGACGGGTTGGAAGGGCCTGACCCCGGGCTCTGCTCAGATTTCCTCTTCTAGTGTGAAGCTGACTAATGGGAGTGTTGCTATTTACAGTCTCACTTCCCATGGAGTCTGAAGCATTCCAATTGTCTGCCCAGGGGGCCCGTTACTGCCTATTAACAGCACAACAGGAGGCTAATGGGGCGATAAGCAACTGAACTCTGGTCTCCTTCATCTACTCTACATTCACAAAGCAACCCTCAGAGCCTAAGCGAAAGGCTTGCAGTGAAGAGATGCCAATGGGCTGTAGCTGAGAATACCTTCCCGCTCTGGTAGCTTGCCAGAGTTTGCTCTAAGGTTAGCAACAACCTGTAGCAGCTGATGGTCTGTGCATTGGTGAGTTTTGTACTTTCCCAAATGACTGGAGCTTTCTCTTCATTCTCTTCACAAGCTTTGAAATCCAGCTAGTCGCTCATCATGGTAAATGGCAAGACACTTGCTCTTGCTTGCGTCCCCATGGCAGTAATACAGCCCTGGCTGACGGGTGCATCTCTCCAGTAAATACTGCAAGCACAGACGGGTCCAGGAAATCCAGTAGCAGCCATGTTCCCTTCAATTGCAAGGCATACGCTTTTGGAAAAGAACCTCCCAGTGGAGACAGCCTTGTTGGTTTGTTCTCAGATCTTAGCTCTGCTAACACCCAGCTTCTGGTGGAGCTTTGTAATTCCTCTGGCCATAACAGTCACTTCAAGGAAACCGAGCTACGAGTTAATTTATACTGTCTGTATTTTGTGGGCCAGATTTTCAAAGGGAAAGTGAAAAGGTCTAAAAAAACCTCACTACCGGAGATGAAAACCAGGTGCTGTGACCCTGTGGGGCTGAACTGCGGTACAAGTATCTAGGGAAACAAAATACTTTCAGGAGTTTGTGCAAATGGACCTTTGTGTCCACTGGTATCTGTTTTGAATGTGCGAACATGGGCTCCTGCCTCTGGGATGCACCTCACTGCTGGATGTGCTGCACTATACCCCATGTTATTCCAGTGCTGGAAGTTGCCAGTTGTGGAGTGATTTTCTGATAGACCAGTGTCCTCTAGAGACCCCAGGAGACTCATTCTCACCTGTGACCATGCAGCCCTATAACACTGTCTGACTGTAACTCTGACAGGCAGAAGGTCCCAGGAAGTTGTGTGCTGTAAACCCCAGCCCCACTCAGTCTCCCCCCTGTAGATGACTAAACAGCCCAGCGCAGACTAACTAGCCACTGATTTATCTGCTGGCAAAAAACGGTGCTCACCTAACCCAATGGCTCAGGCGAGATTCCCCTCCCAGCTCTGCACTGCAGAATGCTACTGCGGTACCCTGCTTTCCATACCCTTGCAGAATTCCTGGTGACCGTCAATGCGGGGATGTGCGTGTAGCAAGAAGGGAATGCTGGAGCTAAGATACAGAGCTGGGAGGAGAACCGCTCCTAGTATGATGTTCAATGCAAGTCCACAGAGCTAAGCTGGCTGGCTGGAGACCCCCTTAGTGCGACTGGGGGGATCTGGCTCAGGGTGCTTGAGTTCCACATTTAACAAGGTCCTTTTTTAAGCAAAGAGCCTGTTTGTGTTGCCTGGACTAATTGACCGGACAGATCCCTGTGCGTTAAGCTCCAAAACAATTAAATGCAGCAGCAAAGAGGGTCCCAGAGCCCTGTAGTGTTTGCTGTCTTCATGTTTAAAACCAGTTGCCTAAAAGTTGAAGCCGTTTCCTTCTGTTTTAATGCAAAAGATTTTGTCTGTAACAAAGCTGCTTCATTTAAAAATGTTACGCTTTGAACTTGTCTTCGGATTCCCTTTCCTGGGCTCTGCCAGGCCACCCCTGACAGGGTCAGTACTTTTAACCAAAACTGAACAGATGAATGAAATTAACAAAACAACTCAGGTTACAAATTCAGCTCCCCCACCCCCCATGTATTTCTGCCTGTTTCATCAGTTCTTGACTTATAGGGCTGTAAATGCAGGCAGCCAGGCCAGGATCTAAGCAAGCCCCAGGGGATGTGACCGGCCGACTGAATAATCTATCAGGAAGAGTTGATTTCCTCTGCTCCGTGTTTATACTCTGAATCGTGAGAGCCCCGGGGTTTGTAAAACTGCAGACAGGGTGCAGCTGGAAGGCCACTAAGAAGGCAGATGCAGCTGGGTTTATTTAAGTGCCCTGTGGAAACTTCTTGTCTTCTAAAGGAGCTAGCTGAGGGCCTCTCTTATCAGCATAGGAATACAGTGCAGTGGAATTACCTGGGCAGCAGTGACTGGCTGGTGTCTTGTGACTAACCCTGGGCCTCTGTCTCCTCATGGCTGGTCAGTAGTCCTAGGGAAGGACTTGTACTCCAGGGTCTTATTGCCCAAATAAAACCCAGTCCTCCTCTGCTGTCTCACTTCTTGGCCACAAAGCAGGTGCTTGTGAGCTGGGCAGCAGGGTCTTGCTGCGCTCAACACCCTGGTTTTATGGCAGAAGAGTGAGATTTTCTCTCTGCCCTTCCAGCCTCTTGTCTCAGCAGAGAGAGAAAACCAAGGCGGTTCCGTGCACGGTGTGTGTGTCGTGCAGATGCCGACTAGCCGTTTATTACATCACAACTTAGGCTAATGTGGAGTGAAACCTATTGTGTCAAAGGGTTTGTCTGTGAAACTCTGTGTCGGCCCAAAAGCTGAATGCCCTTTGTGCTGCAGAAGGAGTGAGTATTTCTGAAATGCATTCATAAGTGATCTGTCACTGGGGCACATTTGTGACCAGGCATAGAAATGGATTGATGATACTGTTCCTCAAGGGCCCAATTCTGCCGCAGCTGTGCGCATGGAAGTCTCCGTGAGATGTCTCTGCATGGCACGGCTGCACGGTCAGACTCTACAATCAAGGTGCTGTTTTTCTGGGGTGAGTGGTGGGGGAGCCCAGCCTCTGGGCGATGGTGTTAGTGATCTGCTTGTTTCTTCTCTCTGCTTTTTCAGCACCAGCTCCTGTCGCTGACATCCGCACAGATAAAATTGAACAGAAGAGCGTTTCCTTGTCATGGCAGGAGCCGGGCTTCCCAAGTGCCAGTAACACGGAGTACGAAATCAAGTACTATGAAAAGGTAGATCCTTTGGAGACTTGTTTCCCATCTTTTCAGTGACATGCCAAAAACTCCAAATGAGAGGTTCCCCCGCTTCCCAGCCAGATTTGTGATACAAGAGCTGTGCTTACAGATGCTGTCTGCATGTCTCCCCTGTAACGTTTGCTGTGACCCACTTGCTTTGTAAATCCTCAATAATGGAAAGAGTGAGTGTGTGTGTGTGTGGCGCATTGTCAAGACTTTACTGGCATAAGTTTGGGTTGCTTCTGCTACTTACAAGTTCCACATTCCTCAAATCACCACTACACAATCTGGTTGTACACGCTTCAAATTATTTTAGCTATTTTTAGAGTTTATTTTCATTGGGTTTTTTCTGTCTCCACCTGTGAAGCCAGTCAGGTTGCATCAACACTGCGAGTCCTAATATATAAACCTCCAGGGAGAAAGAGTAGAACTTAAGCATTTGTAGAGGTTTTTAACAGCTTTTCCTTAAATGCATTAGAATTCTGAGACTTGGGAGCTTGCAACCAGCTAAGTTAGATATGTGCTTAGTCCCTTTGGATGAAGGGCATTCCCAGAACCGCAGGAAAATGAGGCTTATATTTTTGGCACTGATGGATCACAAAATACTGAACCTTAAAACTTCAATGAGTTCAGGACTGACTATTACCAGCCCTGGATATTAGAGCAATGATATGTGAGTGAAATTCCACACTGGAGGGGAATGAAGCAAACATTTTTGTGATTGTCTTTTAAATTAAAAAATGGCCACTTTTGATAGCTGTTGTGAAGTTTGAGATGGTTAGAAGTTAAACTAGTGGGCAGAGAGCAGGGGAATATGTTCCAAGACCAAATAAATGCAGTTTGTCACATGGGTCTGTAAATTATCCTGTCAGTGAATGGGGATGCTCCTTATGAAATTCCTTACATGCCAAGCAAAAGGTGCAGTGACATGCTGAAATTCTTTCCCTTGAAACAGATGAGTTTGAAATAGATTCACATTAACTTGCTCTTTAATATCTGAGAGATTCCAAGAGAGGAATTTGTTGTGAGGTCAGGTGCTCAAATATAATATGATAATTTCTTAGCAAAAATACGATAGCCACGAGATTTGGAGCATATGTGAAATAACAATCCACTGCCTCTGAACTTGGTTAGTAAGTTTAACTCTACAGTTTAGCAATTGCTCACATGAAAACAAATCAATATTTGATCAGACTCCAGAAAACTGGCTTGGTACCTAGTCCTTGTATTTAAGGACTCAGTTTTTTCCTGATTCTCTACACAAAGGGCTCTGAGAAAAAACCATCTCAACTAGGTAACATGTTGCACAACAACATCTACAGACCCTGGAGAAATGTAATGAACTCTGTCCAGGCTGTGGCATTAATGCTACAAACTAGGGTTTGAGAAATGTGTTCAGGTTAGTTATTCAGCATAAACAGTGTGTGAGAAACGCAGGCTTGAGCTCTGCTAAGCTTTTGACACAAGGTACAGCTGTTTGAATTCTGGAACCCACAGACTACAGTAAAACCTGGCCTCAAATAACTTCTACCTGAGCTTTGGGTGAAAAGAGACTAATCTGTTTGCCAAGCAATTTGTTCCAAACTGTCATTGTTACCTCCCATAAGAGCGTAACCCATTCATCATCATCATCATCGAATGTCCCAGCTTTCACCGTGCGTTTCCCCACATCTCGCTCACGCCTGCACACACAGCCCCAGTTGCCTGGGAACGCCTCCTTCCCGCCTAGGAAGAGCAAACAAGGCAGTGAAAATCCTTCTGTTCTCACCTTGCTATTACTTACTTTACAACACCCAAAACATATGAGGCACCTCACAGAGACCCCCTAAGGTTAGTTCCTGCTCTAGGGTGGGACAGGCTAATAGATGGGAATGTAGCACCCCCCAACGGGGCGGGGCAAGGCAAGACAGAGGGTCTGGATGGGGCGTTGGAACAGTTTGTGTAGTGGGGGCGCTGAGAGCCACTGAACTAGACTAAACCCCGTATATGAATCGGGGTGGGAACTGACCAATGGGAGCTGGGGGGGCAGTGCCTGCAGGCGAGAGGAGCATGTGGAGCCTCCTGGCCCCCCCACTAGGAACCGGACCTGCTGGCTGATTCTAGGGTGCAGCGCGGTGCCAGGACAAGCAGGGAGCCTGCCTTAGACCCTCTGCGCCCCTGACCGGGAGCCACCTGAGATAAACCCACGCCCCAACCCCCTGCCCCAGCCCTGAGCCCCCCCACAAACCCGGAGCCTCCTGCACCCCAAACCCCTCATCCCCAGCTCCAACCCAGAGTCCTTACCCCCCCCTGCACCCCAAACCTCTGCTTCATCCCGCAGCCCCCCCCCCACACTCAGAATCCCTTGGCCCCACACCTCCAGCCTGGAGCCCCCTCCTGCACCCCAAACCCCTCATCCCCAGCCCCAACCCAGAGTCCTTGCCCCCTCTCACCCCCTCAACCCTGGCCCCAACCCAGAGCCCATACCCCCTCCTGCACCCCAACCCTCTGCCTCAACCCGCAGCCTCCTCCCACACTCCGAATTCCTCGGTCCCATACCCCCCTCCTGCACCCCAAACCCCTCATCCCCGGCCCCACCCCAGAGCCTGCACCTCCAGCCCAGAGCCCTCCCTCCCTCCCACACCCTAACCCCCTACCCCAGCCCAGTGAAAGTGAGTGAGGGTGGGGGAGAGCGAGCCATGGAGGGAGGGGGAATGTAGTGAGTGGGGCGGGGCCTCGAGAAAGGGGTGGGGCCTTGGGGAAGGGGCGGAGCTAGGGTGTTTGGTTTTGTCTGATTAGAAAGTTGGCAACCCCATATATGATGGAAATCACTTCAAGCCGAGGGGTGCAGCAGCCCCCAGCACCTATGGGATGCTACGTATGTCTAGATGGTTTGAGTGGTTTGTTAAGCATAAGCTCCTTCTCTGGTGGTGCTGTGCGAGGGATTGCATTGACGAGAGTGGAGGCTTGTCAAATTTGCTTTGGGAGGAGCTTTCCTAACAGGAGGCTCTGCCTGGGAGAAGCATGAATTATACCCAGGGGCCTGGGACTTTGAGATTCCCAATGGAGAACATCATCTGGACTGTGACAACATGTGCCTGCTGTAGGCATGTAGAGGCTGCATCTCTGGAGCCCACGGAAAGTTTGTCTTTAAGTTCTGTGTGATTCCTCGGGACAAGGAATACAGCAAAGCGCTCAGAACGGCCATTCTGCCACACTGAGACTTATTGCCTTAGGAAATCTTTAGTAAAAGGCGAAAGATTTATACGATCTGAATGTTCCGGGCTGCCATGCAGAGACGCAGCTTCCCACTCTGACATGTGTCAGCTGCTGCTTGAAAGGTTCTGTCCATCTCAGTCATAACAAGGCAGAAATCCTGAGCTAGCTGGGTAGGTGAATCACATTCCTGGGACTGGAATCACTAGAGAATGTGCCTGCCAGCTTTGATTACTCCAAGTGTGCTAATACACGTTTATTTAGTCTTGAGAAACAGCCCACTGCTGGTGCCAAGAACAGCCTGCATCCGGGAAGAGCTCTGCCCTCTGCATTCCAGGCTGCTCCAGTCCAACATGCCTGGGAAGCGCCAGTGGGTTTAATACCATCCCCAGGTCGTGGCAGGCACTGGTTAGTAACAAAGAAATTAAGTTAGATTGTTTGCAAACATCCAATGTGCTGCCTTCACATTAGCCATAATGAGAACAATTCACTATCCAAACGGCTTTCTGGCCAAAGAGTAGAACATGCAACCCCCAGTGGAGGGGATGCAGTACACGTCATGCTAACGCTGTGTGACTTGCATCCTGGGCAGGAGAGGCTGCGTGAGTGAGGCATTGCAGGGCGGGGGCAGCTCTAGACTAGCTCAGCTAAGATGTTTCTAAGTGGACGTGTCTTTGCTGTAGTTGGTGCCGTGGCCGAGAGATTCCCCCGATGCTGTTTGCTGGAGCAGTTTAAAATGCTGTGTTCTCGCCAGGAAACCTGGTTTGTGTGCCAGGCGCTAGGCCACTCTGTACAGTCGGGAGGAAGGGCTAAGATCTAGCTGTCCAGAGGCTTTCCACTGGCTGTCAGCTGATGGCCCAGCTGGAGTGTGATGGGATTCTGGCACGGAGCTGGTGAGCTGGTGCACAGAGGTCTTGTTGGTCTGGGTAACCCAGGTCTCCCTAGCCCACCTGCCTGTAGGACTGCCCAGCATTCAGAGCTGGCTCCAGTTTGCGGAGAGGGCCCTCTCCAGACGGCCTGGTGGTGGCAGGTGATCAGATTCCAGCTGGCGGACGCGTCCTCCTCCTGAGTAGTGCAGTGAGTACAGGCGCTGTCTCCTCTGTCCCTCACACCTCCACCCTGCTCACTGCTTTTCAGGGTCCTCCTGGGCTCTGGCCCAGCTGTAGCAAAGCCCTCTTTGGGGGTGTGGCCCCATCTCGGTGCCTTTCACTGAGAACCTGCTCATTGCTCTGAGGAGAGGCAGAGGGGAGGGGCTGAGGCTGAAGGTCCCTTCTCCTCTCCTGGGAAATGGCTCGTAGCAACACCCCCCCCCCCCGGGACACACAGCAGCCCCCGTTTAGTTTAAATGAACCCCACTCTGGGGACCCAATTACACATTCTCACCCACTGTCCCCGGTCCCAGCCTGAAAGGCCCCTTTGTTACAGAGGGAGCTTAACGAGATGGCCATGCTGCTGCCAGGATGCACCTACTTGTCTCTGTCCTAGCCTGCCCCTTCCCCTTCCCCTGATTCCTCCAAGAGCCTCTCTGTTCGAGCAGCCCCCCCTCCCCACCCAGGGTACCGAGCATGGGACTCCTTGGCCCCTCAGGCGACTCATCCCCCCAACCTGCCCTGATGCGTTTGGGGGTCAGTTAGCCCCTTCCAGCCTGTCCCTCCCTTTGGACTCTTCTCCTCCGATATCCCTTTGGGACACCGGCATCTTTGGCCAGCAGTTCCAGTGACTTCCCAGGCCTGCTTTGAGGCAGTGCCGTTGTGTACCCCAGTCCCCTCGAGGAGCTGGGCCCTGTCGCTGGCTTGATTGTGTACTCAGCGCTTCCCCCGGACATGCCATGCAACCCCTCCGAGTGTCCTTCCATAGCCAGACAGGGCTCCCCAAGGTACATCCACGACCACCCTCTGCCCGTCCTCTCGGGTTCTTTGGAGATGGTAACTCGGGCTGGGAGGGGTGGGGTAGGGGGACAGGAGTGTGCTGGCTGGCGTCTGAGTGCATGCCAGTATGTGACTGCACCCAGCACCCTTTGCTGGCTGGAATGCCAGGCCTGTTTAGCTGTTTATTCTCAGCCCTACCTGGTGGAACTACTTTCTGTTATATGGTGAATATTAATCTTATCCTATATGTAGAGCCACGCTCAGGACCTCCTTGGAGGTAGAGGGGGAGGGGCTTGGCGTGCACTCTCCCAGCGTGCAAGGTGGTGTGAAAGAAAATGTAAAGACGTGAATGGGAGAGAACAGCCAAGGAAGCTGGTGTATCGTCCCTTTTATAACACCCGTTCCCCAGCCTCTCACCTGTCGTATCCGCTAGTCCTAGCTGCGTTTATTCATCCTTCTTGTAACTTTTCAATGTAATTTCTATTAATGAGGCATCTAGAAAACGTTTCATTTTCACTGATGGTCTAATGTTTGGCTAGTCAGCCCTGCTAGGACCCAGAGGCACAGCGATAAGACAGCTGCTCCACAGATCAGCTAGAGGACAGCTGTCAATCTCGTTAAATCTCCCGTGTTTCATTATTTCATAGGATCAAAGAGATCAAAGTTACTCGACCGTGAAAACCGCGTCGACGGCCGTGACAGTCAGTAACCTCAGGCCTGGCACACTCTACGTCTTCCAGGTCCGGACAGCATCAGCCCAGGGTTATGGAAACTACAGTCCTGGCATCGAAGTGGAAACCTTGGGGGAACGTAAGTGCTAGCAGGCCAGTGGGGTGCGTCTCAAACACAGAGCACACGTCAGGGGCGTTACTTTGAGCTGGAGCAGCTCTACGGCTCACGGTTTGTGCCTGAGACTCCACTGACTTCAAGCAGCAGAGTCTGTTCTGGGTGTGGGCCTGTCCCCTAAGGAGGGAGCGGGCCCTTCTGTTGAGCGAGGGCCTATTCCTTCATTGCTAGGTACCCGTTTCCTTCCTCTGTCAGAGACTGATGTCGTGCTAATGAGGGCTGCTGGCTTGACAGCCTTGCAGGCTGACGTCCTCCGATTGTCTACAGAGCAAGTGCAGCATCGACAAGGGCACCCGCCTGCCCGCTTCTGCCCTGCCCTAGAGGGAGCCCCTCGGCAGGAGAAGGGGAGAAATTAACCAGACATCTCTGGGGGTTCTACTGAGCCTGCCCAGGAGGATGCCCGGTAGGGCCGATTGTGACTTGGTTTTTGTGACATTGACATCGGGATGGATCCCCCCAGTTCCATTACACGGGCCACCAAACAGCTGTCAGGCGGGAACGGCTGTCGGTCACTGCCTGCTGAACTGTCGTTCAATCCTCTGAGCCAGGTGGTCTTCAAGTAGTGCCACAGAAGGGGGGGGGGGTCAGTTGCACTATTGTCCAGTGGAAACAAAACCAGGGTCCTTCAGATCATTTCACATGGAAGCAGAGCTGGTCTCGAGCCTGTGTCCGTGGAGCACTTAGGGTGTTGGTCACTTTGCTGACTCGGCTTCACTGGATCTTGTTGGGTTTTTACTTTTTACAGCTTCCATTCAAACCTGTTGTCAAGACCATCTGATTTCACTGTCTGAAGGAGGGGCTGGGAGAGATGGTAGGTTTCCAGCCCTGGCTGGAAATGAAAGTCCAGGGATGGCTGGCTCAGTATGAAGTTCTACAGATTGTGTTTAACAGGGCTTTAAATTGCATCCATTTACCACACGGAGACGTTTTCAGAATGAATTGAATCCAGTAAAAGTTGTCTATTGAATGTCGCTATCTCAGACCTCGGTTCGCCAGCGCAGGAGAGGAAAGTATTGAACTAGTGAGGGAGACCATTTGTAAGCTATAAATTTTAATGTGTCTCCCCCATAAACAGGACTGTTTCCTTAACACCAGCTAATAGAATGAGGAGTCCACTAAGGCTGAGAGCTAGAGGGTCCTCTGCTCACCCTGTCAACACTGCCCTTCACTCTGCTCGCGCTGGCTCTGGCTGCCAGAAGGGCCTCGGCCCGTGAATTGGAGAAATAACAATAAACAGCAGCTTGGCACCTGCGGTGAAAGTTTCTCACAGTCTTTGCTAGAGGAACCTGAGCTGGTTTAGCAGGAGGAGGGGCCGAGCTCTGGGACAGGGAGATGCTCCGAGGGAGCATGGCAAGATTTGAGACCAAAGTGCGTTTACAGCCTTACCAAGGTGTGGCAAATCCTCTAGCTTTTGTCTAGCTGCGTTTGCTTTGGAAACAAGCTGCCACTTGCCTTGTGAAATCGGAGTTAAACACCAGCCCTAGTGCTGCCGACCCTACGAAAATAGCATGTTGAGCTCCCCTTGTTGCCTTTCCACGAGCAGCTACTGTGACCCCTGCTCCCAGGTCTGGCCTGACATCTGACAGGTCGTGTGCTGCTAACACGGGGTCAGCATGAACGTCACTTCTGGCATTTCAAATGCATCCTGGTGGAAATCTTTTCTCAGCTTCAGCCATCAGGGCAAGGTTGTGGCTTAGGCAAAGTTTTCAGATCATGCAACATCTGCAAACTGCCAGCTTAGTCTAGTGCAGTGGGCTCTCAACCTTTTCATATTACTGTACCCCTTTCAGGAGTCTGATTTTTCTTGTGTACTCCCAAGTTTCATCTCACTTAAAACCTACTTGCTTACAAAATCAGACATAAAAATACAGAAGTATCCCAGCACACAGTGACTGAAGAAGGGCTGACTTTCTCATTTTGTCTGTGTGAAACGTTAGTTTGTACTGATTCCGCTAGTGCTTTTTCTGTAGCCTGTTGTAAAAGTAGGCAACAATCTAGATGAGTTGCTTTACCCCCAGGAAGACCTTTGCTTACCCCCTGAGCTATGCAGCCCCCTGGTTGAGAACCACTGGTCTAGGGCGACGCGCCTGCATTGCAGGGAATGTGCAAGGGGAGGCTAGGCTGTTAAAAGTGACCTGCTTTGTCCCCTTTCTTGGTGCTTTATGATGCAGAAAAGCCTGAAAGATTTTTTGCCCTACCTCAGTCTCTCTCTTGTGTTTTGCCCTAGAAATACCCAGAGTTTTGTTCCCTTTTCCGGTTGTGTTTAAACACGAGGGGCCTATCGTACACTGCCAGTGATGCAGAAAGTGCTGTCTGGTGCAGGAGCGCACTGGAGCTTGGTGCTCTGGCACACACCATGACATTGCCAGGGCCCCGACCTTGGTGCTGGAGATTCCTGGTCCCGTTGGTGCAGGAATGCAGCGTAAGCCAAGGCAGGCTGGTCTGGAGTTGTAACCATGGTGCCGGGTATGTGCAGAGGGGAATACAGACCTAACCCCTGTTTCGCTTCCCTCCTTGGCAGTGACTGTGGCTCCCAGCGAGCAGAACCCTATCATCATCATCGTGGTGGTTGCAATCGCTGGGCTGATCGTGCTGGTTTCCATGGTGATTGGTGTGATGATCTGGAGGAGGTGAGCAGACTTCGCACCTCTTCTATTGTGCATATGGCAATAGACCAGGGATTTCTGGGGGCGGCTTGCTGGCTTGGTGTAGCTAATGCTCCTAATGCTGCAGCCGGGGTTCGGGGGACACTGGGAAAGAAACAGGTCTCTGTAACAGCCAAGTTCTGCCCTGTGGGCTGTGTGTTTGGCTGCCTTAGGGTCAACTCCACTCATCGAGAGGGCCAGCACACGGCCTAGAGCTGTTAATGTCACCTTCCTGTTCCAGGCTTGGAATAGCTGGCGTTTGTGCCAGGGGATCAAGTGGGGTTACAGGGTTTGGTAGCTGAAAAATGCTTTGGCAACTCACGTGTGACTCTGCCCATGGCCAGGAGCGGCTGGTGGCACTCAGAGCTCCCCCAGGGACAAGCTGTCCTGAGTCTGACATGGCCCAGGCTGTGCTGTTGTTCACACAAGTGAGTCACTTTCCCGAGGCCAGAGGGTTTTGTGGAACGGACAGTGGGGAAAGCTTAACCTGAGCTGTGTGTCTGCAGCCATTGTGGTGCTCGGCGAACTAGTGATGTGACTGTGAAAATGGGCCTGGGTGGGGGGAATCTGGGAGAATTTGTTGGCTCCAGTTGATAACAACTAAACCCCCAGGATTCTCTGCACTGTTTGCAATGTGGCCACCACGCTGGCCAACTGGAGACCTTCAGAGAGAGCACAAGAGTCTCTGCACTCCCAGCTGTGTCTTGGAACTGTACCAGACTCGCAGCCTCTGTGGTTCGGGGCGTGTCACCAGTGGGTCACACTGGGACATCTCCAAACAGTGTGAAACTCTTCACTTTTCCAACTGGTAAATCAAGGATAGAAATTCCCTTAAGTTAGTTTAGCATTTTTAAAATCTGTATTTCTGTTAATCTTCCTAATCTGGGGCTTTTCTAAGGCTCAGGTTTTTGCTTTGGCTGGGTCTAGCTGTGGAGTTTAAGGACGGGTGAAACCCAGATAGCTGGAGTTCCAAACTGCATGGGGAAGTATATGAAGCAGATAATTGTGCTGTCTTTGGAGCCACTCGCTCCGATCGCCATTCCTCCGGCCAGGGCTGCTGGGACAAGGGAAATGGTTCAGAGGGGCATCGGTATTCATCTGACAGATGGGTCAGTGGAACGATCTGTACTTTTTAACTTAAAAGATTAAATTGAGCCCAAAATGAGAGTAATTTAAATAAACAGAATAATAAAAAATGACAAGTGAAGACTCGAATGTTGTGTAACGACAGGGCTGGGGTGGGAGCAGGCCACTGTCACTCGCTTCACCGCTGGAATCCCAGGTCCCTGTCCCCCTTGTCGGAGCGGCCGGGAGGGGGCGACTCCAGAGTGGCAGGCCGACCTCCCGTGCACAGAATGCCTGAGCTCCGAGAGCCAGGCTCACGCAGGCAGCGAGAGTTCACTCAGCTCCCCCCAGCGGCCGTTTCCCCTGAATGCCCTGGGCTGGCAGAGGAGCAGCTCCAAGGGAGGTCTCCTTTGTTTAGAGTTGCACTGTTTGCACGTGCAGGCAGCCCTGGTGCAAGGCTCTGGGCCCCTGCTTTAGAGCTGGGGAAGTTCCTTCCTCCCTCTGGCTGGCGTGGAGCTGGTGTCAGTGGGGGGCTGAGCTGGGAGGTTGCCGGAGGAGCAGCAGGGCGTGGTGTTGGCTTTGCTTTTAGTTTATGAACCAAATGGCATCTGGGGCAGCCTCACGCTCTGGCTTGGTCCTCACTGGGCCCTGCTCCCTTGGACACCAGCAGGACTTTGCCACTGCCTGCAGCCAGGGCAGCTCAGCCCAGGGAGCACAGCTCTGCCCTGGGCAGCCAGAAGGGGTTAGGCTGATGACTGGCGGTCCATAGGGGTGCAGCAGAGCGGGCTTTGCGTCTATGCCAACAGGAGTCCCTGAAGGTCAGAGCAGGGATCTGACTGTCGCACTGCTAGTGCCACGTCTGAAATCCTGGTGAGTTCGTTGCTTGCCGCACTGGAGCGACTCCGTCCATCCCATGGCGTTTGACTAGCATCTTTGTCAGGCTGAGATTACAGGGGTGTGGACACGCGAGCAAATATCCTGCCTGCAGCAGGGCTTATCTGCACCTGTCACAGGATGTGGACATCTGAGTTATCCACATGACTGAGCTAGCAAATGCTCTCGTGTGTCAGGCGTCCGGTGCCCATCGGCTCAAGGAGACCAGCGAACTCTTAGTGTGGGCTGGAAATGACCTGGAGACGCTGCTCTGTCATTATCCCTGGGAGTTCGGAACTTGCCTTCGTGTTGCGGCACCAGATTTGACCTGCCCTTTGTTGGCTTCCACCCCAGCCCCGGATCAGCCGGTGCCCACTGTGCATGGTTTGCCCCCGTCATTTGCTCGTCTGCTGTGCTGTAACCCCTACGCTCTTCCACGCCCACCGCTGAAGCTGCAACTCCACATCCAGTCCCTGTCTCAGCAATTCTCTCTTGCTGGGATTGGGATCACAGAGACCACAGTGGTTAAGCGTACAGGTTTGCGTGACCCTGGCCTCTGGCTCCTGGTGTTGGTGTATTTTGTGGGGTTGGACAGCACTCTTGGGCACTGGCATTTGGGGCTTTGTACCCAGTGGGAGATTCACGCTCAAAGCCTAACGTGACTATTGCTTCTCATTGCAGACAGTGTGGGTACAGCAAAGCCAGCCAGGACGGAGACGAGGAGCTGTACTTCCATTGTAAGTGACGTCTGGCCACTGTGCTGTGTCTGATTGCGTGGGGAGCTCTGCATTTACTGTCATTAACAACCCTGCTCTCTGCAGAGCAGCCCGGAATCCTTCCTTTGGAAGTGCTGTCATCCCGTGTTAGCCCAGAGAAGGCCAGCTCAGCACAGCAAGGCTCTCCGGAGACAGCTGGCTTGACAGCTTCATAAGCCAGTGGCCGTCCTTCCTGCGCACAGAGCACTGGCTGCTCAGGGAGGTCACTGGCATGCCACAGGAAATGGAGATGCTTTCAGCTTTCTCGAGGGCGTATGAATTATTCTGTCAGCTTTTCACATACAGCTACGGGAGAGCGGGGGTTTGTTTTCTGGGGCATCTCTTGATTATCAAGCAGTGATAATTTTACAGACAACAGTTGTCAAAGGAAATGCAAATGTCAGAACTGATGAGTGTATTTGATTCCTGGCATATGCCGGTTAAGCACACACCTACTCTTCTGCTCCCTGCAGCATCTGAGAGGCAGCAGAGCCTGTACGCTTTTCAGACAAACCTTTGCTGCTGTCATCTGCTTTTCAGGATCCTTGATTATTGCTGAGCCGCACTCCGAAGCTTGCTGAGAGTTTTCCATACAAAGCAGGGGGAGAGGAAGGGCAGGAGCTGGGGTTTCTTAGGCTACCTGTTAGTGATCTGGGTAGGGAGGGGGTTGCTCCTGGTGCCCTGATCCAAGCCTCAGGGGCCGTCATGCACAGGCAGGACACCAGAGGAGCCACATGCGTTATATTTACTCTTTGGAATTTGTGCTCAGTCGACGAGGGATTGGCCTTCGCTGCTGGTTTGGTTCCCCAGTGGGAGCACCACATGCAGCAGGCACAGCCCCCTGCCTGTTCCGAATGTGCAGAAACTCAGCCAGTCTTTGGGCTGAGCAAGGCAAACCTCCCAGGTCAGGGCACCCAGTGCTGTTGTGTTGGGAGCAGAGGCCCCAGGAGCAGCAGAGCCAACATGCTCCTGTCTTTGTTATTTGTTCTGGGAATTTAAAATGAAGGTTTACAGGAAACCCGCGAGTGGCTGCTACGATCCCCACCCGCGCTGTGCAATGCTCTTTGTAACTGGGTCGCTCTCGCTGCACTTCGTTCTCCTGGGCTCGGTCCAGGCAGCGTCAGTTGCCATTTAGCAGATGGTAGCGGCCTGTGGGGGAGGCTTTGCAATCCATGCGCTGATCATCGGGGCCTGGAGCAGCATGTGGTTCTAATTATCCCTGCTGGGGGGCTTGGACACCGAGGCTGGCCAGGTAGGGGAGGGTTAACCTGGGAGGCGGATCTGCTCAGACTCGGAGGGGCTGTGTCCCTGTTGGGACTGGTCTGGGTGAGAATGAGCAGGGGGAACGGTTCCTTTTCCCTGTAGGAACTTGGTAGCAAACGGACAGAGCCAAGTTTCTCAGCGGTTTTAGCTAGTGCAGCGGGTCAGTCCCAAGAGGCAGGAGGTTCCTGCCGAGGCAGATCAGGGGAAAGGCAGCATGTTGGCTCCATCCGTCCTGATGCTGGAAGCAAAGCTCCTTCTGCGTCCAGGCCCGGAGAGAGCACTCCCAGCAACGCTCCCAGGCATGTCCTAATGGCAGCTCTGACCAGCCCACCCCCCCTCCTAGAGCAAACCTGACCTACAGCCGGAGTTGGCTGTATCTCTAGAGGTGGTCTGGGGCTAAAGCAATGAGGAGAGGCGCTCTGTCTATCGGAGCAGTGATACCGCTGGTGGTTCACAATCGTACTGTGTCAATATGCCTGTAGCCTGAGTGGATAGCGTGTCCTGGGGAATGGAAGCCTGGTCCCTGGCCTCAGTGATTGTTTCTACAGACGACAGGAACAGCTGCCTGCCTCACTTCGTTTCGTTTCATGAACAGTGTACAGAGAGGAGAGGACAGTCTATTTGCCAAATGTAGTTTGGGGTTGTGAGATCAAGAGCAGGGCCTTGCAAAGATCTCCCCAGTGCGGGAGGGCTGGGACCAGCGGAGCATATTGTAGATTGCAGAGCCGCGTGTTCTTTTCCAAATCCCCTGGCTACGCAGACAGGAGAGCGGCTCCACGAGAGGCCCCAGGCGGCACAGCTAGAGGATACAGGTTTGTAGGGTTTTAGGGAAGTTATTGTCAGACTTCGTTAAGCTGAAGAGCTAATTACCTGTTTAACAGCAATGTTTTTGAGTTAAATTAAATTCAGATGGATGCTGTTGCTCCAGTGCTGAGTCCGGCTCCTGCTGCTGCGTCCTGGCGCTCTGGGTGCTACAGAATCTTGGGTTTTTCTGTATTTACGTGGAGCCTTCGTGCTCAGCTGAGATGTGAACGCTAGCTCTGGGGCGACTGTGACCGGCTTTCTCCGAACTGCTGTCTCAGATCCTAAAAGGGGACACGGTGTCCGAAAGGAAATCTCTGGGCATGGATTAGCTGCTGCAGGGCCCCTCAGTGTGGGCCCAATTCGTGTCCTGAGCCCCAAAGCGCAGCTAAAAGCCCGGGGAGCAAAGAGCAGCAGCAGGAGTAGGATGGGCTGGAGACAGCGAGGGGAATGCAGCCTGGAGGAGGTTTCCAGTGCTGGCAGGTAAAGAGAGGGGCAGAGCTCCTGCCGGTTCGCACTCTGCTGCCTTTCGCTCAGTGGGGTCCCGGGTAGGCAGAGCTTCGCGGAGGTGACACAGGGTTTTCTTCTCACACACTCTGTTTATTCCCCCTCTTTGCTGTAGTTAAGATACCAACCAGGAGGACGTACATTGACCCTGACACCTGTGAAGACCCCACGCAGGCCGTGCACCTCTTTGCCAAAGAGCTCGACAACTCGAGTATCAAAATCGAGCGGATCATTGGAACAGGCAAGTATCTGTTCGAGACGCTGCAGCGTGGCTCC